ATAACTTAAAGTGCACCTACACCCAAAAAATTTTTTTCGCTTAACGAAGTAAGCTTATTTTTTTGAGTATTTCTGCGCAAAAATTTTTTTATTTGCTCAAATCTTCAATTTTCTATGCCCAGTCAAAATACGGAAAATCGGCCGCCATCTTGCCCCACGACCGAGTTTAAAGAGGAATGGCTCTAGTGGGTAATGTGACGTCAAATCGAGAACACGAAAGTCTGCATTTCACACATTTTCACTTGTTTGGGAAGGTTGTAGTCGATAATTGTCCGAAAATATGCCGACTAAGTGTGTTGTAGAAGGATGTAGCAACGTGCGAAATTTGCAAGAGGGTATCGCGCTTCATACATTCTTCATACAACACACCTAGTCGGCATATTTCGGACAATATCGACGACAATCTTCCCAAACAAGTGAAAATGTGTGAGATGCAGACTTTCGTGTTCTCGATTTGACGTCACATTACCCGCTAGAGCCATTTTTCTTTAAACTCGGTCGTGGGGCAAGATGGTGGCCGATTTTTCGTATTTTGACTGGGCATAGAAAATTAAAGATTTGAGCAAATTAAAAAATTTTTGCACAGAAATACTCCAAAAAATAAGCTTATTTCATTAAGCAAAAAAAAAACTTTGGGTTTAGGTGCACTTTAAGTTATGCACTTTTGGGAAAAATCAACTTTGGGGTCGTATTGAAAACAAAATCTTGTTAAATTGGGGTCAAAGTTGTCAAATTTGCTGCACAATGGCTTTTTTTAAATTTAATTTCCTGCAGTTTGATTGGTTACTTTAAACAAGCCCTGGTTGGTTGATTTGTTTGAAGAGTTGTTTTTTCATTAGCTGGGAAAGAGATACAATGTTGGGAAAAAAACTATTAATGCAATTTGGAAATAAGGGCTGATCATGCAGATTGCAAGGATTACCAGTATTTCAAAATGGACGTAATCAATTTTTTACTTAGAGAAAAACCCCTTAACTGTCAACCTCACAGAAAATGAATATGCCAAAGGAAATTGACTCATTTTTTAAACTTGTTTTAAGTATCAAAGGCCAGGTTTTTTTACATCTCCCCTGCCAGAGATTTAACTGTTACTCTCTAACTTTGGATTTACTGAGTACATCATGTAGGCAAACCCTATGCAAGCAGTGAAGGGTTGCAATAAAATCAAACAAACAATGTGGTTGAAATAATCAAATTCATGTGGATTTACACTTAAAACTTTTGAATTTTTGATCTACTTCATAAGTAATTCTCCTTACTGTCTGCCCACAGGCCGCCCAAGCTCTCTTCAAGAACCACACAAGGAACACAATTTGCATATCGATTTATAAGGATTTGTATGGGATTTTCTACTAGATATCCATGGAGATGGTTAAAAGTGGAAATATTAAATAAAAATGGCTTACCTTATTCCATACGTGTGTCGTTATTTTACTGATTTAACTTGATTCAAACGTTTTTTTTAAATCCAAGTTAAATCAGTAAAATAACGACACCAGGAGCAAACAACATACGTATAGAATAAGGTAAGTCAGTTTTATGTAATATTTTCACTTTTAACCATCTCCATGGATATCTTGTAGAAAATCCCATACAAATCCTTATAAATCGATTTACAAATTGTGTTCCTTGTGTGGTTCTTAAAGAGAGCTTGGGCTGTCAGTGGTCTGCCATACAATTTTGTTTTGATATTGTAAGGAGAAGTTATATCTTGGTCGCTTATGGGAGGTAAAGGGTTTAGTTAACAGAGGAAGTTTGTACTCACTACATTTTGTCATAAAAAGTGCTTAATAGATATATGTTAAAGGGATGCTAGTAAATTCTTTTTAATACACATGATAACTTTATGGCCAAAAGCTCTTTGTTCTTTAATAGCAAACAAGGGGTTTTAGACCGTTCAAAGGTATAAACCCGATATTTTAACCACAAGTCAAACTGGAACAAGGCTGTTTGGAACAAAGAAAGAAAAAATGTCATAAATTATCTCTGGGGAGCACTTCTTATTCACATCATAGACGTACATATCGCTCTTGGGCAGCTTCATTGTCATCTATTTAGGGAACTGCAGAATACCCTGCCACTCATTTACATGTCATTGTATAAGAATTGTGAAGAACGAAGATAACACAATAGGAGCTATTCTTATTCAATGACATGTAACTTAGCAGCAGGGTATTCTGCAGTTTAGCCTCTATTTATGTTTGATACATATTTATTTTATGCAATGGTGAGTGAGAATATTTTTTAGTTGGTTTTTCCGGGAGTTAAAATATAAAATGCACTTGTTCGTACCTCACCCCCACCCCCCATATTTTTTCGATGTAGTGCGGACGGAAATAACACGTTCAAAAGACGAACCATAAATCTGTTTTTCTTCAGGCATCTCTATCGTTTGATCTTTTTGATGACATTGTTCTTGACATTAATCACAAGCTCGCAGGTCTGCTCCCACCTAAAGCTGAGCACCACAGGCAGCTGCGCAGCAATAGGAAGTTTAACGTGCCAGTGTGCAAGACTGATCGTTTTAAAAAATCCTTTATTGTTAGCCATAGCCTAAGGATGTAAATATATATGTTTAAGTATGTATATTTTTTTAACACAAGATCATCCTAAGTGAAACTTTTTTAATTAGATTTGTATATTTTTATCATTAAGATTTTCAAACCATTTTAACTATGAATTTTGTTTCTTGTATTGTATATTATACACGTAATTCAGTCTTCGGACTGCGAGGTGTTTCTTTTTAATAAACGATTTATCTATCTATCTATCTAGGTGCAATCCTTAGAGAGATCTCTATAGACAAAATTATTATGTAACAATGGCTTCGTTTTCACTATCTGATACGAGAGCATGTCGAAATACTAACATACCCGTTCCTCCAGTTCGTTTACTAGGAACCCTACTTCCCCTCCCACCGGACACTGAGTTGACGCTTCACATCCTCAAGTCGGCTCTTTTAAACGATTTGGTAATATCAACTCAACTTAGCTGGCCACCCTAAGGAGTTAAAAAGCTAACGTTTCGAGCGTTAGCCCTTCGTCAGAGCGAATGGAAGAATTGTGGGTTGTGTGTGGGTATATATGCAGAAAGAGAAACGCTAATGGTGGGGGCATGGCGACGAGAAAAACACGAATGAATTATTAGAATAAAAAGCGTTTGTTGATATCTGTGGCATTAGGAAAGCCGATTTGGAAGACGAACTTTTGTTCGGGAGTTTTGTGAGTTTTTTAATCTACCTAATCATTCTTAGCAACATATGGCAATCTGCGGTCTTTCCTTACATTTAGGTAGCTCGGAAAGCCGCAAAACTCTCGAACAAAAGTTCGTCTTCCAAATCGGCACTCTTAATCCCAAAGGTATCAACGAACGCTTTTCACTGTAATAATTTATTCGTATTTTTCTCGTCGCCATGCCCACCAATAGCGTAGCTTCACAAACCCACACACAACTCACAATTCCTCTATTCGCTCAAACATAGGGTTAACGCTCGAAACGTCAGCTTTTTAACTCCTTACCGTGGCCAATTTACGATTACAGCTAAGTTGATTTTATCTTGTTACCCCCACCGACGCAGTACTCCCGTCTCGGACTTTTCACTCAGCTGATCCATTGCGAAGATTGTTCAAAAATCTGACACTCATGTGTATTTAGCGTGTGCCCGTTTGGATTACAGACATTGACATGTTGTGTCTCTGCGGCTTCAGCGAGCGATAATTAATACGAGACACTTTCAATCTCAAAACAATACCTTCGTTTACGTCGCATAAATTTTACTCTCAGCGACATCCTGAAAACTCGGCAGGTTTCTCGTCTCAAAGTGAGAAAAATCGATAACATTTGTGCGTTGTGTAGCCGTCGATGTGGTCAAAAAAAAAAAGTTGGGTTTCTGCATTTCGAAAGCATACGATCAGCTGTTAAAGTATCTGTTCTAGAATACACCAGAGAGCACCAGAATGTTCTAGATCTTTCCAGAAAAATGCCCCAAGAACGGAAATGCTTACTGAGCATGACAGTGAATTTCGTAATCTGCCGAATTTAGAAAGTGGCGCGCAAATGAACCAATCAGATTTCGGATTATTGTTCAATGAACCAATCAGATACCGTGTTTTATCAGTTTTTCTGGAAAGTTCTAGAATGTTCCATGGTTAAAGCTATATAAACTGACGCGTACACACGTGTTTCACGACAGAGTTTCTGTGTGCGCTGTTGCAGTGTGAAGTTTCGCCAAATTTTCTCGCTGAAAAAACCTTTTAACTAAGTTCCCGCCTAGCCAAAATGCCCGACATCGAAGAAGTTCAGCAAATGGAAGAGGATACCGAAGCGGAGACCTTCGCCTTCCAAGCGGAGATCGCTCAGTTGATGAGTTTGATCATCAATACTTTCTACTCGAACAAGGAAATTTTCCTTCGAGAAATTATTTCCAACGCCTCGGATGTGAGTAAAGCTGTGCTAATGTTTGTTTTTAATACGGTTTTTTAGTGGTACTGTCTGTGACCAATTTCAAATCTCGAACATCTAGGTTAAATTTTGTACTTCGAGTACGGAATCTCGGGCCTTGCCTTGTCAGCAACAAGTTTGAAGAAAAATTTGGCAGCTGCCTTTTTTGTTATGCAACCAATCTTTAGTATGAACTTATATAATGGCTAAATGACACAGATTTCAGAGAAAAATCCTTTTTACTTGTGATCGAGTCTTGATGGTCAGTTCTTAGACACGAAAAATTTGCCGATGGGAAGTAAAGGAAGTGAAAAAAATTATCATTCGGCAAGTTTACTTTTTCTTTAACTAGCCTATGCGATGAATTTTGCTTAGAATCTTTTTCTTTTTTAGTAGCGATCTAGTTTCGATCAATAATCGGTTAATTTAAAGTTCTGTTTTCTCTGAGAATATGTAGAAAGCGAAAGCAATCGAGCACATGGCGTCGGTTAGATCACGTGGTCGTTTTCTCGCAAGTTCTGCGAACAGAATTGAGTTATAGATTTTACAACTCTTCTCGTCTTTGAAAATTACTTGTCATTGTTGTGGTTGAGGTAAATTAAGTAAATGCTTATGTGTCTCATATTTTAGGCCCTCGACAAGATTCGATACCAAAGTTTAACAGACCCAACGTCTTTGGAGAGCTGTAAGGAACTGAAGATTGAGATTATTCCCAACAAAGATGACAACACCCTAACAATTTTCGATACTGGAATTGGTATGACCAAGGCAGATCTCGTCAACAACTTGGGAACCATTGCTAAGAGTGGGACTAAAGCTTTCATGGAGGCCCTGCAGGTAAACACATGAAAAAAATAAAACACGAGAAAATCATAGCTGGAAAACATTTTTTCTCTAATTGTTAAAAATTTGATCACTAAAATATTTTTTTTCCATTATTTCTAAATAAAAAGTATTCAGTTTTGTTAGTTGTTGGCATGCAAGTGAAAGTGTACATCACAGAAAATTAAGGAAAACAGTGTGTGTGCATATCAAAGGAAATTTTTCCTTTGGGCTTTTCGACTTTGTTTTAGAATGGCATGAGACCATATGAAATCCTTCCAACAAACCAATAGGTGTGAGAAAATACTGACTGTTAGAAGCTTGCTTATCAGTATTTTTTTTAAGCAAATTATTTTCCTTTTCATGTCCCGATGATAAGTATGATTGGTCACAGCACAGTAAGCTTTCAAAGATTACTTCCTGGTTCTCTGAATTTAACCCTGTAACCTCTAAGAGTAACTTACATCCAATTCCTCCTTACGTTATCACCTCGGAATCACACATAAAGGTCACGAGAATTAAGGAAACAATCACTAACTGAAGAAGCTCTTGCAAATTCTCCTTGTAAGCACGAGAGGAAATGTAAAGAAAGCAGTATGGAGAATATGTACACCAATCTCTTTTCCTCCTCCAACAGGCTGGTGCAGACATTTCCATGATTGGTCAATTTGGTGTGGGTTTCTATTCTGCTTATCTGGTCGCAGATAAGGTAGAAGTGTACACCAAACACAATGACGATGAACAGTACATCTGGGAATCTTCTGCTGGTGGTTCCTTCACTGTTCGCCGTGTGTCAGAGGAAGTGCTGCCCCGGGGAACCAGAGTTATTCTTCATCTCAAGGAAGACCAGATGGAATACTTGGAAGAGAAGCGCATCAAGGAGATTGTGAAGAAGCACAGTCAGTTTATTGGATATCCCATTTCTCTGCAGGTAAAATTTTTCTCTTAACTTAAGCCCAGAATTTGAATAAACTGTAATGAAGAAAGGATAAACTTCAGGATTTCCCATTTTACATATAGCAACCAGCACTTGCACCCTAAGATAGACTAGCATTCAATTTCTCGTTACAATGGTACTGTGGGATCGTTCATTAAGATCATGAGAGTGAAGAAATGATTGATAACCCTAGAAACTTTGATTATTCATGAAATTGTCCTTGTCAGTATCAAAGGAAATGTATGGAAAAGTGGGTGGAGAATATGGATGCTTATGTTCTCTAGATTGTGAAGGGTTTACTGGCAAAAAAGTGTCTGCTATCAAATTGAATTTAAAAACAATCTGTGTTTTTGTTAAAATTCACAATTGAAGAACTTTTGAAACCACATCTGCAACATTTGAGTTATCAAGTTGTGTTTGAGTTCAATTTAAATTTGGTGGTTGTACTTTGAAACTAGGAAGAGAGTGCAATGTTCTCTTGGTTGTTTTATGAAAGGAGGCCCTGGCAGTAATAGCCAACACGTGTAGGCTTGAAAGACAAGGGTTTAAAGGCTCCCTTTTATCTCATTTGCCCCAGGTACAAAAAGAGCGAGAGAAAGAGGTCAGCGATGACGAAGATGAGGAGGATGAAGATAAGAAAGAGAATGAAGAAGATGAAAAGAAGGAAGATGGGGAAGATGATAAACCAAAGGTAGAAGACTTGGATGAGGAAGATGAAGAGAAGAAAGGAGAAAAGAAGAAGAAAAAGATCAAGGAGAAGTACACTGAACTTGAGGAACTCAACAAGACCAAGCCATTGTGGATGAGGAACACTGATGAAATTACAGCTGAGGAATATGCGGAGTTCTACAAGAGTTTGACAAATGACTGGGAGGAGCATATGGCGGTCAAACACTTTTCAGTTGAAGGACAATTGGAATTCCGGGCTCTTCTGTTTCTTCCACGGCGGGCACCTTTTGATTTGTTTGAAAACAGGAAAAAGCGTAACAACATCAAGCTTTATGTGCGTCGTGTATTTATTATGGACAATTGCGAGGATATCATCCCAGAGTATCTGAACTTCATTAAGGGTGTTGTGGATTCTGAAGATTTGCCGCTGAACATTTCCCGTGAGATGCTGCAGCAGAACAAGATCTTGAAGGTGATCAGGAAAAATATTGTCAAGAAGTGTTTGGAGCTGTTTGCTGAAGTGACAGAAGACAAAGACAACTACAAGAAGTTCTATGAGCAGTTTGGAAAAAACATTAAGCTTGGTATCCACGAAGACAGCGTCAACCGTACCAAACTGGCTGATCTCCTCAGGTATCACTCCTCCGCTGCCGGAGACGAGATGACATCACTCAAGGATTACGTTACAAGAATGAAGGAGAATCAGAAAGACATCTACTACATAACTGGAGAGAGCAAGGATCAAGTTGCACACTCTGCTTTCGTTGAGAGGGTCAAGAGCCGTGGATTTGAAGTGTTGTACATGACAGAACCAATTGATGAGTATGCTGTGCAGCAGCTGAAGGAATATGATGGGAAGAAACTGGTCAGTGTCACCAAGGAAGGCCTTGAGCTACCAGAGGATGAAGATGACAAGAAGAAATGGGAAGAAAAGAAAGCTAAATTTGAGCCTCTATGCAAGGTATGGTACGTATGGTACGGTGATGTAACTTTTGCAAATGGATTTTGCTATGACTAATCTTGCTTTTTTCATTTTAATGTTTGATCATTTACTCTGATGCCATCACTGGGATGTTAAATGTTGTCCTTTTTCAGACTGTCAAAGAAATCTTGGACAAAAAGGTGGAGAAGGTTGTTGTGTCTGGGCGACTGGTGTCATCTCCTTGTTGTATTGTGACAAGCCAGTTAGGCTGGACTGCCAACATGGAGAGAATCATGAAGGCTCAGGCTTTGCGTGATAACAGCACACTGGGATACATGGCAGCCAAGAAACACTTGGAGTTAAACCCTGACCACTCAATCGTTGAAACCCTCAGGCAGAAGGTGGAGACGGACAAAAATGACAAGTCTGTGAAAGATCTTGTTATGCTGCTGTACGAGACCTCTCTTCTGTCCTCTGGCTTCACGCTGGACGACCCTCAGGTTCATGCTGGCCGTATCTACAGGATGATTAGTCTGGGGCTTGGAATTGATGAGGAAATGGATGGTATGTAGGGATGTTGTTTTGTGAAAGTTTTGGGTGTTTTTCTTGGGTCTAGCCAAGGGTTTCTATAAAATCTGGTTACTGGTAGATTACTTTGGTCTACCATAAAAGCCCACGTACAAGCCACACTTTTTTTCCAAACATCGTCGCTAGAAATTGGCGTGCGGCTTATCTGCGAGAACAGTTGAAAAAGGTGTTGCAAATGTCAACGCCAATTTCCATTTTTGCATCTGATCTAATGACTGGTTACTAAGCTTCAAGTATTCTGCTCGCGCTCTTATTGTGATGCAAAAAATCTGTGGAGAAACTGTGTTGATTGAAGAAATTCTCATCAAAAAATACCAGAAAAAGGCCAATGATATGTCAAATTTGGTAGAAATGATGTTCATTGTATCAAAGTGCTAAAATTGTGGGTAAGACTTTGAAGTATTTTCCGTTGCAATATTAATATTGAGTTTACGTTTGATGAACAGTGGATGAAGAAGACTTCTCAAGACTCAACTTTAGTTTTCTTTTTATTTCTCTCAAAATACTTTTTTCCAAAATTTGAGCTGCTAAATTTGGGGTGTGGCTTATCTGCGGGTGCAGCTTACAGTATTTAGCCTGCAAACACACTATTTGTTGCTCAGAATAATGGCAAACATTTGCAAGCTTCTAGATGGGGAAACAGGGGACAGGTTGGTAAACATGAAAACCCAGTTGTGTTCTTTGTCAGTGTGTCATGAACACAGCTGGGAAGGAGGGGGGAAAAAAGATTTCAGATAAGTCAATTACCGCTGCTTGTGGAGTTCCTCACATTTTGTCAAAATGGATGGTGTTGGCTTTGCTTGGCAGTTGAAAGGGTTACAAGAGGCTTATGAATTAATCAGAATTGTTTAATCATTCCACAGCAGGTGAAGAAGCAGCAGCCGATGGAAACAGCGAAGATATGCCCCCTCTAGAAGGAGAGGATGGCGATGATCCTTCAAAGATGGAAGAAGTCGATTAAGCTTTGCTGATCCTGGTACAAACCCGCAACATTACTGGACTGGAAATCCTTGGCAGCTGTTGCCACCTGTCTTTCTAAAGTTACATTGTTATCATAGCAAAAATATTGCTGTTTATGCAAGAGTGAAATGATTCCTTAGAAAGCTTACTGGTCAGGTTTTAGAATGTAGGCTCCACTTCATTGGCTCTCAAATAATATAATTTGCTTTAGAGTTTGGGGTGCCAAGATTTGCAGCATCGACTTGTAGAACTTTGGTTTAAGAAATTATAGTGTTTATAGGTTTTGTTTGTGAGCTTTTTCATGCCAAGTATGTTACGTTTAGTAGTTAAGTGGTTATTCACAGTCGCAGGAACACTCTAGGACCTACTTCTTAAGGCTGTTGAGATTTAAAAGACAAAGTAACCATTCTACACTGTAGTGAGGTTTTTTGACATGTGATTGCAGATATGTAGGTTAAAAATCTGATTAAAAAGAGTGCAGTTTGTGATCAGTTAGTAGCTGTTAGCCCTGTCTGACTGAGCAGTGGAGATAAGGCATTTAATCAAGTATCTGGTGGTTCTTCTTTTCTTACCATTTTAAAATGTTTGTTTAGTCCATGAAATGATCTTCATTAGATCTCATGGAAACAGGCACAATAGCACCACTGCAGCAGTTCACTTTGCTAGTGAAAGTTTTGCCTACCCTAACATTGTAACTTAGGAGTGGGTTATGCTTAATAAAAAGGCTGTTCATTCTAAGCATCAATCTTTAGTCTGATTTCAGAATTTTCCATTTTGACCCTAACAGCGACTGTCATTTTTTTTCAAACCACCTGAATCTATTAAAGGCTGATAGTTTCTAAAGAAACTGTTTGGGGCTGCGTCGGTGGGGGTAACAAAATAATTTGGATATATCAACAAAGTTGAAGTGGTAAATTGGCCACCGTAACAATTACAAAAGCTGAAGTTTTGAGTGTTAGCCCTTCGCTCCGACGAAGGGCTAACGCTTGAAACCTCAGCTTTTGTAATCGTTACGGTGGCCAATTTACCATTTCAACTTTGTTGATATATCCAAATTATTCTGAATCTAATAGCTTAGGGTTAAGAAGGAAAGAAAAAGCAGAAAAGAAAATTTTCTTCCCTACCTTTAGTTTCTTGTGCTCCAGATTGACTGACTCCATTCAGGAGTAATGTATTTACAGAGCAAACCTTGTCATGATGGTTGTATGATTGATAGTTTGATATATGCATGCAAATTGACCTTGTTCGCATTGCATTGTTTTCTAACAATTACTACAAAAAACGAAAAGAACGGCAATCGAACTGGCCAGTCAAGATACATAGGATTAGTGGGTCTCATGGAAAGGAAAGAGAAAGAGGTGCAAAATTGCTCGCAAAGAAAACCAGAGTTGTCCAACTTCCTCATTCTGTGGTCTTCCAAGGTTTGAAGGAAGGAATTCACTCATTACTCTGAATGGGTTATTATAATAGTATCAAAGTTCTTAAGACTACCACTGGACTGTTGAAAATTAAAGTTCTTCTATATTGCCTCTGACTTCAAATGGACTTTTTTCAGGGGGGGGGGGCACTGAGAAAAAACTGAACTACATGATTTGTACAACCTCTTTATTTAGTTCAAAAAGACCAGCAAAAATTCAAAACATCAGAAAAACCTACCTTACAAGGAAATTCAATTTGTGTACACACGTTTCTAACACCCACTCAGACCATGTACAGTACTTTTAAGAAAACCTTTTGAAGAGGAAAATGCAAACCATTAGGAACTTGTTGGTTGTGATGCGAAGAAAATAACAAACAAGAGTGGTAGTGACTCTATGTTGAAGATAAAGGCAGAGAAAGGAGTCAATCACTGAGAAATGAAACTGTCTGGAAGCAGTGATTGTTAAAAGGATTTGGTGATTAACATGTGACTTGTACATCAACAGACAAAACTGCCCCAGACAAGAAACGGTTTAAGGTTGTTTTCAATGAATGCAGAAATGAACATGTCGAGAATGAACTGAGACAAACAATGGATGTATCGGCAGTTTATTAAGTGGAGCGATACAAGCAGTGATGTTAAATGTACCCACAATATGATACAGGGAATTAAATACGCAAGTTGCAGTGTTCAGAAAAGAGACGTGTAATATGTGGAAATGTACCAGCAAGTCTTTAAATCAGTGTTCTCTTGTTAGACAGGGAATCCATGGATACTGATAGACACAATGGGCCAATAAGAGAAAACAGTTAACGAAACCAATAAAAATCAGTGTTCTCTTGTTAGACAGTGAATCCATGGATACTGATAGACACAATTAGCCAATAAGAGACAACAGTTAACTTAACCAATAATTAACTTAATATTAACAATAAATTGTTTGAACCCAAGTGCAAATTTATCATGTTGTCTGATTGTCTGAGTGAGGGTGAAGTTATTGGTGACCAAGACAGAACTTCACCTTACATTATCAACACAATACCTAGCAGACAAATGGTGAGGATAAAGTAAAAATATCAATTAGGGGATCATTAGTCGATCCAATACCAAATCCTCTGACCAGAAGAATTGTACAGCAGACCATGGGGAAAATTACTCATGAGATCTTGGAAGTGAAAGGTGAAGCAGAAATCCTCCTCAGATTTTGCCTGATGATGGATTTCTGCTCAGTTTACCACAATCTGTGAAAATCACCAGCAACTGATTTCAGACTTCTTACACCCAGGCATTCAGACTACATGATCAACTCCATGCTATGCAGAATGAAAAAAGTGCACTAAAAAGTAAAAAAAAAAAAACTATAGACAACTGATTACCAAAATGACTTATGAACACATATAGTCAATTTTGAGCTTCTCATTAAATAAAAGTCAGTTCTCAATAATGACAAGGGCAAAAAATAGAATAAAAGTGGAGTATAAAACTTTGTATAACTACTTGACATGAGAAAAATAGTTATTGAGGTTAGAAAGGATAGGAAAGAACTGGTACAATTGCTTTTGATCACTAGTTTTAGGGAAGTCATTATTCAGCAAAAAAGACATTGCAGAAAAAAAACAAAAAAAAAACCAAGAATGGTTGATGAAGTCTAACCCATAAATTAACTAATACTTGACTATAATAGTTAGAGTAAAAGAGGCAAAACATCTGACCGCAAGAATGTCATAAGTCAGTTTGAAACATTGGACAATGTCTCAAAATTAAGCGACTAGGTGTAATGGGGTGGTCAATCACATCAAGTTTCATGTCAAGACAACTGCCTCCACAGCAATAGCAGAGACAATTATATTATTAGAGAGAAAATGTATTGTCAGGCAAGGAAAGTTATCCATGACATGAGTTGGATGGGGCATTTTACACATTTCTTCACTTGCACAAGAGTGCACAAACTCTCTCTACGAGACTTTCTTCTTCTTGCAGTACAGAGGTTTTAGTTATTGCCTAAAAATACTAGAACCTAATTTTTTATGCCTGCTAGTAGGGATATTGCATTGCATGGGTACTGCAATCTTAAAATTAACAAAACAATAAAGTGTGTTTAAAAATTGGTTCCAAGGTGAAACGGATGGATTAAAAAATACCATACCTCTTCTCTAGATTTAATCAATACAGCTACTTAACATACAACAACTTCCACTTTCTTTTGGCTGTGGATGTTAAAATTAAACTAGTAATTTCAAAATTTCTTTAGTGGAGGCCAAGTGAGGGGTGGCCTCGGCTCTCAGCCAAGGGGTCCTTGTCTAAGCTCTAGTTGGGTGCTTGCATGGAGTTTCCAGGCAAGCCTCTTAACTGCGTCTATCTACCAAGTAAATGGGTATGGACAAACTATTTGGGAAAGAGGATGAGAGGATGGAAAGCTGAGGGGGTCTAGCCTGTGATGGACTGGGGGAGGGGAGAAGCAATACTCCCAGCTTCTTCATGCAACAGAAACTAAGAGAAGCTTGAGCTGTGCAAGTCTCTAGGCTCCAGAGCAGAATTAGACTTTAAATTTTTCATTTTCTAGTCATGAATCAATGGCCAAATATCGGCAGTGTTAAGTAGCTGCATTATTAGATGGGTTTTTTTTTTTTAACATAAGAGTGTCCTTCAGGTCAACAAAAACTTTCTACACAAAAAACACTGATCCCCAAGCACCATATACTAGTAATCAATGAGTACCTGCCTATTGGCTTGCTATCAATTGATTAATTAAAACTGAAAAGGTTGTGCAGCTCAAAACTGCTGATTAAGCCTCTACTGCAGAGTTTTCTGACAGACCCCAAGGAAAGCTGCATAGAAAAGTAAAGTTGCAAGTAATTTTGTACCATGATGCAGCTCTTTTTCATTCATATCAATGATAAATGAATTGTGATGCTTCAGTTTGGATTCTAAAGTACTTAGGATGTCCAGAGTGGCCTCATCATGAAGCTGCAGTGACCAATCATTATCAACTATGACCACATCTACATGCATCTGCCTTTCTTCAAAAGATTTTTCTCCAGATTTTAACTCCAGACTACATTAAAGTAAAAAGCAATTTTCAGTGAATAGATTCTGAAATTGCTGTAATGCGGTGATTACTTGCTTGGAAGGGAAAAAATGCCCTTTTACAAATTGATGTGACACATTTTACAGAGTTTCATATCAAAATATCACTGAATCAGTGACTGGTAAATATCAGCTTTCAACAATAATAATAATTTTCCTTCACACATTTGCATCTGTTTTTGAACACAGCAGTAAATTTTCAATGAAATTTTCAATGAACAATGGACATCAGCAGATGAGGTCTTAGTTTGTGAATTAAGTATCTAAATTCCATAATCAATAATCAATTGAGAATTTGTACCTGCTATACGTAACCAAGCAAGAAATTATCATGATAAAACCTACCATTCCTTTGTAATTTGGTTTAAATACCATTTCCTTTTCTTAATCTCGCCCCACAGGCAGTAAAAGGCACACTATTTCAAAACATCTCTTGCAAGCTAAGATTCAATCTCTAGGACATAAATAATTCATTATTTTAATAATACATGTACCTTCAAAAATCACTAATTAGAGATTGACTTCTACCTATTGCAGTATGCGTGCTCCTGGGAACTCAATTTAGGGAATTTTCACTATTTTTTCCATAATCTGACAATAACTAATCTTCCACTTTCACTCTCCTGTGATTATCTACAATCAAACTACTGCAAATAGCATAAATTTGGAAATGTGTAATGAAGACTGTATAAGTTACAGAAAATATTCAATAATGATAACAATTAATAATCAACTCATCTAATTATTAAATAATGATACACTGCCTATCATTATTAATTTCTGTACAGAGTCTAGCCTGACCAGGCCACCGGAACCTATTTCCAGTGATGGTTAGGCTTCAAATATTCACAACACAAAATGGTGTAGTAAAATGAATGAATGTGAATCTCACCTAAAATGAATTTAAAATGTATTGTACAGTGCATATATAAACAAATAAAGGCAGTTTCCTTGCGAAAAGTGGGTTCATCATACACATAATGACATTCCACAGAGAAAGTTAGGAAACATGTGTTTTAGGTTCCTAAAGTGGATAAATTTTTATGAATTCCACATCAATGAAACATGACAATTGGTTTTCCATGGCAGCGAATGATGTCTTTAATTGTTTCTTCATCGACCAGCTTAAAATTGCATACATGTTCATGTTGCTATTACATTATTATTAAAATGATACTAATTATAATAATAATAAAAAGAAAATTTAAAGATGTCACCAGTACAGACACCGTGTCACCATGGGTCCACATTGCTGAACTATTAGTTAAAAACCAATCAGTGTGTGTGAGTGGCTAGAGATACAGAAGGCAAGATGAATTCATGGCGGTTATGAATGCTGTCCTAAAAGCCTCTCTGCTTCTACTTGTTGGAGTCGTTGCGTGATCAGAAAATGAGCAGTCTGTGCACAGTTGAAATCGCCAGTAATAACAACTTTTCTATTGTTAGTACCAGGAACAAACTCTCCTTTTTGTGATACCTGTATCTTGGCCCCACTGTATTGCATGATTTCGTTGATGGTTTTGCCTTGTTTCCCAAGGACTGCGCCAATCAGCTCATCTGGCACAGTCAGCTCCAAGGTCGCAGTTGATTGTATCTGTGAACCAGATGTTGATAGCCCCAAAGGTCCCAGACTTCCCATCGCGTTGAGAAGAGGGTTATTTCCTCCCAGCCCACCCCCACTCAGTAAAGCAGCATGGGCTAATATACTATTAGCTGCAGCATTATTACCTGTACCCGCTGAGTTGGCAAAACCCAGTCCACCCAACCCAGAACCTGAGAGCCCCCCACCACCAAAGGCATTGAAGCCAGTGGCATTTCCATTAGAGAGTTTGTGAGCATTGTTGGGTGAAAGACTAGAGTAGAAAATGTTGTTGTTCAATGCATGTTCTGGGTCTTCTTGTACTTTAGCAGCTATAACTGCGCAAGCTGCCTGCACTTGCTCTAGAGTTCCAGAGACACCGATAACCCTCTCGCCAGGCACCGAGTCGGCATTTTTCTGGCTGACTTGTATCCTAGCACCAGTTTGATCACTTATGTATTTGATAGTGGCACCACTCTTACCAATAATAAGTCCTGCTGTAGAGTTGGGTATCACAATTTTCATCTGTTTGGCACGCTCCTTATCATAAGTCATGGCTGGATTTAGTTTCATTGCTGGTGGCTCTTGCCTGATCTTTTCAATAACAAAATTCAACATTTTGATAATTGTTTCCACTTCCCCCATTATAAGACCAACTCTCTCTTGTGTCCCAGGGTAGTAATCATTGTTAGGTGACAGTTTGATTCTAGCTCCTGTTTGCTGCTGAACTTCTGCGATGTTGGCACCTCCTTTACCAATAATTGAACCAGCCGCATAGTTAGGAATGAGAATTTTTACAATAGGTGTTTTGGCAGCTGCAAAAAGAGGGAGAAAGAAAGAGAAAAACATTATATTTTAAGGCTCTTTCCATTCTGGTTGCTTCTTGTAATTCCAGTCCAAAAAATACGAAACGAAACCCAAGGATATTTAATGGAAACATGATTGATAACACACACAGAGTGAACAGAGTACTACACAAGAAAAAACTTAAAATAGCAGTCACTGATTGTAGTTCTTCACCTACTGGAAGCCTGATGGCATGTAATGTGTCCTCACACATCATATACATAATCAAACAAGGACAAGAAGAGAATATTGAACAAACTCATTTGAGAGGGCTACCTTCTTGTCAGATGCTAAGTTTGTAAACTAATTCTTAAAAAAATATAATACAACAACAACCAAAAATTCCTTGATGGAATTTGCTTGTTTAAAGTTAAAATAAATTCTTTAAAAAAATAATAATAATAAGAATTTAAATCCTTTGTACAATAAGACAAAAAATATGTACAAGGCATTATATTTTTTAAAAAAGAAAAAATGTGCATTTGGAGAATTCATCAATAACTGGACAAAATACTGTAATTATCATGTTTTAAGTAGGAAGTAAATAGCTAAGGGTAATTCAATTGAGTCAAGAACACAACCTACCATCTACCATAAATTATTTTTAATCATCCTTCAAATTTAACTTGATTTTAAAAGTTACTCAGCTATCAGTCTGAGAAGTCACACCAAGATGTACCATCACAAATTCAACTGAGAGATCTTGAGGGAAAAGTGTACTTGTTAAAATGGATCAAAAGCATAATTTAATTCTAACATTGGACATGTGCGTCGAAGAATGGAAACCCTTATGGCAAAACAGTTGTTTGCTCAGAAATGATAAAGACAAATTTCCAAAAGATGACAATGAAAATTTTCTTTGAAGCTTGTAGTTGGAGAAATTGAATGAATTGACACGTGTTGCCACAGAGCAGATCAAATTCAACCAAAATTGAAAGCAACAATGTTCCCAATTTCCGCAACAAAGGGCAATGATGTCAGATAAGACCCCATGAAGTTTCCAGAACGTTCACTGGTTTGCAGATTGGGAGTACACTGTGCAATTCAAGGTAGAAACCTTTGTTGGCCAACATCACAGACAAACCAAGATTATAAAAATACTCACTGCAAACACTACATTTTAAGTTAAATGTTAGATTCTAGGCATAGGAACACAAATATTATTGACCACAACAATGCACTGTGTTAAGCTAAATATATTTCAAGCATCAAAGGTCATTCAACAAATATTTGAGATCATTGTATCTTAAAAGCACAAACAATTTGTACAAACATTAAAAACAGCAATAATTGCTCAAATCAAGTTTGAATGTATGTATAAGAAAAAACATTGTAACGATGATAGTGATGTACGTTCTTCTTTTCTCCTGCGAAAAAAATGAAATGTTCCCAGCATGTCATTATGCATGCTGGCAGGTCACACTAACAGAGGAAAAAAAATTAGATACTAGGCATTTCAGCCAGAATAGAGTATATACAGCTGCCTTAAAAGCCACAAACAGAGCAGTCATGTTTTCAAGTTTTGGTTCAGTTTAAGTTATCAATCAAAAAATCAGAAGAACAAAGAGGGAAGTTTGAAGTCAGAAGTAAATGTTTTCACTTACACCTCTTTGAAACTTGCACATTATTTAATCAAGGTGTTTTCTGGTGCCGCAATGCTTCGCAGGATCAAAACGAAAACAAAATTAATATCACATGGCTATATAGCCAGGAGTGGAACAATTGTCATTGTCTAAAATACTGTGAATCAATCGCACTGAATAGAGGATGAGGCTGTCTTTCCTAGTAAATAAATTCAAAACTGCAATGGAATTTACCTCGACAAAATTATAATTATGATGATTCAGTGCAAGACTGATGCTAAAATGAAATTACAATTTCTCCAGAAACCACTGACTTAAAGAAGAGGAACACAAAAAAACTACAGTGAATTAACAGTAGTAAGTGTTTGAAATTATTGTACTGATAAATAATTTTTAAAGATGAAGGGACACAGAAAGTTAACTGTCTGACAAAACACTAATGGCACTTATTGTAAATCAAGGCACTCTGTGAGAGCTTACCAAAAGATCTGAACATGATTATGATGAAAAGCAAGGCTTTTGGAAATTAAACCCTCTTGATTTTAAGAACAGGGGATCAACTCAGATCTATTGATCACACAATCCTGTTCATTCCACTCAGTCAGTGGAAGGGCAAAACAGTGGGTAAGTACTACAGCATTTTTCAGACTTCAATGAAAAATTAACAATCATCTCGATCAAAAAAATATAAAAATCCGAGAGCAATATTCACCTTTCAAACTCCAGCCCATGTGATACATCGTTGCAGTTAAGGAGATGGGAAATTCATGAAAAAAATGTCAACACACACGACGGTCAGTTGCACGACGAACACCGGGTGATGGCCAAATGAAATGCTTGACCTCGGGTTGAGTACCACACGACTAAACACAAGCAAATGACAGCCGCAGACAAAAAGAGCTTTTTATAATGACCACCTGTGTTTCATGATTAACAGAAGAAGAAGATATTCGCTCATTTTACAACAATACCCGAGTTACTGTGCCCTTGTGAATGGTAGCAAACTTGCTTTCTGGCGGAAAAGTCGCGGTTTTTCAGAGGAAATTACGTCCAGACTTTGAAACTTTTTGCATGATCGACTCCGCATTAAAATTCTTAGCAAGTATCAAGTTATTCACTGCATACATTGAATTGTTTCGCTTTTTTTGTTTGATAAAACATTGTTCACTCCATTTCACAGGGATTAAATTACAAAAGAAACGATATTTCATTACCATGAACATTTTCAAGAGACAGCCAGTTTCGAGCGAACGAAAATTATTCGACCCGTTTCCCATCTCAAAGGCAAAACAATCTTATTATTTATACTATTGACAAAAAACACCGGTTATATTTGGTCCTTAATTTAAAATTCGATTCGATTGAACAAAAGACTTCGCTTTCAGTGTCTGAAATGAAGTCTAGCAGAAATCAAAAATCAAGAAGATTAGGGGGAAAAGATTGTGATCGTAACCAGATGAGGTTGGCTAAGGCCGTATCTGTGCTCCAAAGCGTGAAACGTGTGTGCATACTTGTATATTCTTCAGTTGTTTCGCTTTAATCATATTAGCCGCAGAAAAATTTCATCTCCCAGCATAATTTTGAAGGAACCATGGAAAATGTGTTGCGGTTTTCAAATATGCAAACCGTGAATGCAAATGCGAAATTTTCGCGAAAAAAGAAAAGGAAAAAAAAAAAAAAAACTCGAGTATAGGTTGCGACATGGAACTACTTCCTTCTCTCAAATATCAACATATAAATGTCCACTTAGATATTCTATTATACAACCTGGCACAAAAAATATTTAGCTTTATATTTCGCCGACTGCCTTGGTAAATCAATTATTGATCGCCCGGTGTTATTATAAAGTTATATGTGGAAGAGTCAGTTGCTTACAATTGTGGTCAAATCGTATTAATACAAAGCTGAATTTCTGCGAACATCTGACAACAAAAGCGAACGCGCTGTCTTGAATTTCCGATTCTATGGCCCTTCAGCTTGATATCTGTGAAATGAAAATAGCTGATCGCGCCTTTGAAATAAAATGCATCCAGTTTGGACGATTCAACTCCGATCTAAAAGATTTGTTTACATCTCCCCACCCGTAGCCGCGAGCAAAACAGACCAATTTTACGAGTATAAAATCGCAATCTTTTCTTGATTTCTCAACATTCCTGGCGCTCATTGCATTTTACAAAGTCGCGACTATTTACAAGGCTATTCGCTTTTATTTCCCTGGTTCAAGAAGCTCGCCTGATAAATGACAGATGCTACGGCGCAAACATATGAGCGTTACCACGCACTAAGGCATAACAAAAAAAGCCGCCAAAAAAGTCTGAATCTCCACACACTGCCGAGCAAGGATAAACTGACACTTACCTCCAAGGTTTGACCTTTTAAAAGATGGTCTTCCCTCTCCAGCTCCATCCAGTGGCCTTTTTTTCGAGTCGCTCGTACTTAAATCTACTCCGCCATCGCCTGCGATGTACTGATCCGCCATGTTGAAAAGTGCCATGTGGAAGAGACTCCCAGGGTACTTAGCGGTCGATATGCGTAAGTCCTCCAGGTTTATCTGATAAAGAAAAATTTTTGCAGCAGGTTTCGCATTGATCGCCAAGCGATTCTGAACACTGAAAAACCTGCACAAGACCAAATTATTCGCGTGGTCAAGCTTAAGTTATCTCTTCCCAAGCCAAGAAATAAATGCCATAAACGATTTTACATCTTTTTCATATGTTCTGACGTCAGAAAGAAAAACATTTATGTACATACCAAGGCTTAATGGCAATGAACATGAAAGAGTGTTTGCCTTTTGTGAACAGCAAAGTAAATATTAATTTCACTCCGTAGCTTAGAATTGTTTTCTTTCCCAAAGCCCTATGCTTGACCAAAGATATCTCAATGACAAAAGTTATTTTAGTGCATAATTGTTCTGCTGAAGTTGTAAAGTGGCAGATACGTACCTGGAATGCTCTTAATCGTGCGATTGAAAAGGCGGTGTGCGTAAATACAAACTCAACGCAAATGTCAAGTAATATCAAAAAGCAAACAAGCACCTCCAAGTTGAAATAAATACTTGGATTCCTAGAAGAATTTGTCACGGCTCTCAAATTCAAAGTCAAGATAGCGAAAAGGCGAGCGCAACCACCTTAAAAACCTGTGGTTGTTGACACTGAAAATGTATAGACAAGCCACATCGACAGTGTCAGAAACAGTGATTTGTGATTAAAAAAGATTGCTTGGGTTTCACTTGTGCGGCCCATAACTAATCCAGTAGACCCCTCCCATTTCCTTCTAGCCACTCTCATTGAATAAATATTTGACGAGTATGAGAAAGTAAATAGTTTTGGTATTGGACTTCAGTGAATTTCGAAGCAGAATTTTTTCGGTTATCTGAGAGAACTTGTAACAGGTCAATTCGTTTGCCAATTCGTCTGTCAAGTGTAAGGCAAACACGTGTTGGGCTCAAATGTTTTACGACACGACGAGTAAACAAAGTGTGTTAAGAAAAGATTGCCACCTGAAGTGGCAGATGAATAAGTAAAGAAAAAGAGGCGGAATTGGATACACAGAGAGATCTATTATCTTTGAAGCACTTTATTTATTCATTTTTTCTCGCCACAAATGCAAATAGGACTTAAAGAAATCAGATCTTTCTGAATCACAATGAAAAGCAGGCTTCACATCTGGGGGAGGGATTTTTTTAAAATCCTTTGAAACGAAGTATTAGCGGTCAGCAACGTAAACAAAATCGCTCGGATGAACATGTAAATAAAAGTCGAAATTTTAAATAAAAAATTATCAAAGTTATTTGTATTAGTGGAGTTTCTTAAAATAGCAAAGTTACGCTCTTAACAGATCTAGATTTCAGAATATATTGTTTAAAAGTTGATATTTTTAAAAGCGAAATTCAAATACTTGATGTCACTCATCTGACTTATACACAGCTGTTAGCTGTATTCAACTTTCCCTCGTTAACCGAAGAAACTGAAAAGAAAATTGATGAATTTAATTACATCGATTCATATCTAACCAATGAAAACCCTTCGACAAGAAATATGGATGTAATTATGATAATTCCTGCAACGCCACAATTTAAAGATTTCATCTGCTTTCTCATAACCGCTGTTAAATCTCTCGCCGGAGAATCTTTAACGTCATATAACTATGCACAAAGCCTCTCTCCATAAATTAACCGGTGTCAACAAAATGTTTTCCTTCCAAAAAATCAAACTTAAAAAAAAAACAAAACTGTTTTATTCACCCCACTCGACTAAATTATAACAAGAACTAATCAGTATATCAGTTTCCAACGCCACTAATAATTTACTTTGGACTGAACGTAAGTATTTGGAGCTCCCGCTGTGTCGGCAACAAATCAGAGAAGCGTTGCCTAAAACAACACTATTCCATCTGGGGTGACCGCCTCGGTTCTCCCCCATCCTAGCATTAGCACTGCACTGATGAGGCCCAGGTCTCGCATGGTAAGTGTTGCTTCATACTCTTGTAGTTTGAAGTTGGTTCTGGTGTTTTTCGAGGTCTGAGTTGGATAAGTGAGTACCTGCCGGGAGGGAAAACTTGCGACTTTTTCCTCCCTGGCAGTGGTTGTTTTCTT